CCAAGGTTCACTCACTTGACAATTCAGTTTATTTGTCAAGCGAGTTTATTTGTTGCCAATGTGAAAAATAATTTTCATTGGTTTTTAACAATATAACTGAAGTACAATAAAAAAATAATTTATATATATATATATGTTACCGTTAAAGTATATAATGCAGTTATTTCATAGAATACCATGAAATAACTGATCGTGTCCGTTAAAGCGTGTAATATGTTATTAATTTGACACTTTAACTAGTTATTCTATGAAATAACCAGGTATTCTATAAATTAACTAAGAAGAGACAGTTAAAGTGTAAAATAAACAATTGATCTAAAATGAAATAACTAGGTTTTCTATAAATAAACTAATGATAGACAATTAAGATGAAAAAGAAGCAATTTATCTAATTTATGCAGCGTATAAATGGTATTTATGGAAACGTACCAGAAAATCATTTGTTACAACAAGGATTACTAAAATGACACTTGGAATTACAAAGAACATTATTTCTAAAACAAAAACATTTTTTGTTGACACACTGGGTTTTACACGAACATTTTTTAAATCCCTGACCAGTACCTAAACTTTGAGCTGTAGCAACCGACCGGAGCGATATTTCTACATCCGGTACTTCTTCGATTTTAATTAATTTTTGTTCGCAGACACTGAACTGGGATCGGGAATATAATTGTTTTATGCGGCCGTTTCTTGTGCCCAATTGGAAAAATCCTTCTTCGGTTATTTTTATGATGATAGCTAAAATAGATTTGGCATCACCTTTTCCTCTGTCAACTTCAGGCACTGGGATACGGACGGTAAACCCCACAGAGGCTTCAGAATGAGATTTATCCGACATTAATTTCATCTTTTTCGCTTGAATTTCTAAACATTTTTTAGACTTTTCTCTTTCTCTTTGAACATTAAGTTCATTAAAACACAATTTGCAGATTTTCTGCTCAACTTCATCTTCTGAAACATAATCTTCCGAACATGATATATGGACAGGCTCCATACATTTGAAGCAAACTATATCTTCACTGTATTCTTTTGAACAGACAACACATACTTTCGAAATGGGATTATTTAATACTGTTTATTTTACTACTTTTCCAACTACTTGTTCAACTACAGATATATGATGTAGATTATTTTACACTTTAACGGGCTGCAGATCGTTATTCTATGAAATAACTAGTTAAACCATGAAATACAAGAGAGTTTTACACTTTAACGGACACGATCAGTTATTTCATGGAATAACTAGGTATTCTATAAAATAACGGATTTCATACTTTAACGGTAACATATATAAATAAGAGAAAAAGGAAGAAAATTGGGAAAATCAAAAAATTTTACTTAGATATAGTGAACTCTCGCTACTACGATATCCGATACAACAATAACTCCCTCTATTACAATATTGTTTCATGGCCTCGATGAACTTGCATATTAATTACTGTTATCCACCTCTTAATATTGCGATAAGTGGCTGGGTGGCGCAGTTGGTTTGTCGCCGGCCTTCTGAGCCCAAGTCTGCGGGTTCGATCCCCGGCCCAGACACCGGATTTTCGGGATGCAGAAAATCCTCAGCAGCCATGTCGTATGATTATGCGGCATGTAAAATATCCCTGGAGTGCCTTATTGGCTCTTGGCATTTAAGGCAAAACTAAATTCCTAGTGCGCTTTAAGCATCCAAATAGAGTCTCGGTGCTGCCATCTAGTGTGGCGGAAACTATACGTCCAAATTAACATGACCAACGGTATCTTACCCATTGTGGTGGTCCTGAAAGAGTGGATACCACCTCTGGAGAACGCACTAGGTCTGCTCATCGGCAAAACCGATTGCGCAGCTCATTGGAAATAGAAAAAAAAAATATTGCGATATTCCTTGAAGAAACAAATCCCTGTAAAATGATTTTTTTTTTCCTCCTTCAAATTTCAACCTTATTTTCTCCATTGGTTTTCAAATAATGTAAAAACTTATTTTATCATATTTTGTGTCTTTTCTGACAAGAGAAGTCTCACTGCTGATTATGTATTTATCTTATTTCTTTTCACCACAGTGAATGGCTTTTGTAGTCAGATTTCAATACCCCATCCTCGATGTACATAGACCACCACCCCAACACCTTACAATTGCCTCTTTTATCTCTTAAGAAGTCACAGGTGCAGCATTCCAATCTGATTTCATATTTTACCATAATTAACACTCTGTGTATATATAAATAGATTTAACATTAAAATTTTTCAAAAAAATATTGTGTTCCCAAAGTATGTAAACTCTCGATATAATAATATATCCCTCTATAAAATATTGTTGTAGCGAGGTTTTACTGTATATAGATATAAAACTCAGTCAATTTGTAATAACAGCTCGCTTTCCACCTTCCATTTCAGCCCAGCTTATACCTAAGTTAGTTCTAGCTTTTGACTGCCAAAATGAGAAAAGAAATTTTATCTAGAAAATTGCAATCCCTTACATTTAAGCACCCATGCTCACTCGCTTGATATTTTAGTATTTCGTTGTTAATGCGGGGAAAAAATTTCATTGGTTCTTCACAATTTCCTTGGTGTCTAACATAAAAGAGATGGCACTACAAAAAAGCTGCATATAGATATGTTCAGGCCTCGCCGTAACTCTATTCCTTTTGAAATTGTATCTGTTTTCATGGGCTTTGGGCAAATTCTGGTACTTTTCATCATCGCAGTATGTTTGTTTCCTTTTTTCAAGGTTTTTTTTTTCTTTTTAAATTGATGCCTCGCCTATTATGTTTGAACACTCAAACTCCTAAATTCTATATTCTGAGTTATTACTGTTGTTAATTTTAAGATTTCACAAAATTCTCTGAGGATTTCTGGTGTTGCCATGGATCACCAAGCCTCCTTTTTGAATCCTCTTTTTCTTTTGCTGAGAGGTCACGTCACGTACGCGCACTTAAGAATCTACAATATTCTCTGGATGTCCCCTGACGGGGGAGGGACGGGGTTAAACTTTGATGTTCAGAAGGCCTTTTTTTATATGCAGATTTATTTTTTAATAATAGTGTAATTCATTCAGTATAAAAAAGTTGTGACAAAATGGTATTAAAGTAACTGTCTGCTTGTTTAACAAAATCTATTTTGTCATTTTAAACATTCGAAAAGAATACGATTTGTGAAACTAAATTTTGTATTAGTCCATTTTAGCCTGCTTTTAAATAGTTAATGATATGTATTACCATTCCATGTTCACTTACATATTTCTATAAAACAACTTTTTATTTATTCTAATGTTTCTAATTTATTGATTTTATTTTGTATCTTTCTATAATATTTAATTAATAATGATATTAATTTAATATTTCAATTTTAATTGTATTTAAAAAATTAGCTAACTGAAATAATTTTTTTAAAGAACTTATATATATAATCTCATTTAGATTTTAAGAAAATCATATTTTAGTCACCTTGTAACCTTTTATCTGCTACATATTTTTAAATAAAAAAAAATTTACAAAGAAAAATTAAAAATTTACATTTTATTAATTATGCTTGAAATGCAAGTATATAAAAACTTAATTATAAAAACACAAAGAAAACAAGGAAAAAATAATTAAAATTTAAAAGAAAAAAAAAAACTAGGAAACATGTTAAAGATGCTGTGTTGTCTTATAACACATTAATATTGTTTAAGCTATATTAATACAATACTAGAAACCACTACATTGTGGTTACAATCACGTGGGGCTGACGCAAAAATTATAACATTTCGTTGATTTGTTTTCAATATTAAAAATGGCAAAGTTGGTGGCAAATGTGATAATTCTTATATAAACGTTAGTGTTCTAGCACTAAATTTTTATATAAAAAAAAATTTATATATTTGCAGAAAATAAATACTTTTGCTTACTAGAATTCATTAAAAAAAAACATACTTTTTCTAAAAAAAAAAATCCTAGATCTAATTTTGATTTTTATCTCCCTACTTCTGTTTTAAACATTTTGATGCAATAAAAAATATCTCAGATGAAATTTAAAATTAATTATGATCTCTCAAATCAGAAATTGGTAGATGAGGATGTCATCATTATAATTTCAATATCCTACTCATGCAGACAGAAAATAGATTCTAAGTATGCACAAAGGATTTGTTAAAAATGGATTCAATGTGTGTTTAAGGTTTTTCCGAAGTTTCGACGCTCCGGATTCTACCTCCAGCAACATAGGAGATGGAATAATCCAGTCTTAATGTGTAATTCAAATGCCAGTATTAGCTTTAAAGTATTTTGTTTTAATTCTCTACACTCGAAAAATATTTAACTCAAATGTTGGAGGGTTTGCTTATATCCATTCTCATATATAATTGGACTTATTTTTCCCCACTCTAACTTAAATCTGATGTTGATGGCATGGTCAACAAACCAAAGATGAGTTTGGGCTTGAAGAATTTTAATCTGAGCCCACTCGAGAGTGAGATACATAGAATTATTTAAAGCCCGAAATATACTTCTGGTAAAGGTCCGATTTAGCAGCCTTGCCACTTGTGGTATGTTCTCTAAAAAGAAAATTAGCCATTAAAACCTTTTTATAAATAACTAACCGGTAAAACAAAAATAAAAGAAAAAATCTAGAATGTGCAAGAGCAATGAATGTCAAAGAGGAATTGCCAACAACAGCAAACGTTTAAGTTCTTTAATCGCCTTAAGATCACCTTAAGATTTAATCAGAAATCCTCTTTTTAAATTGTTAAGTTTAAGAATTTTATCTCTCTCTTCTTCATCTACTGTATTGTGTAAGAATATCTTTTTCAGTGTAACAAATACTTTTATATTAAACAAAAATAAACAGGGTCTTAATAAAAACAAAAAGTAACATTTAAGAACATTTTTTCCCCCTCATTATCTTGATAAAAAGTTGTGCAACCCTAATGAAAACTGAAAAATAGTAAGATAGACACATGAAATTTATTTCATGCACACACACTTAATATGAACATCTAATAATAACTACGAAAGATAATAATAAACACACATAAATTTAACATTGTGAGCATAAAATTTTAATGCAACTTTAATCATAAATTTATCAAAGAAATCTTTACAAGTACTTAGTTGTCTCACAAGAATAAGGCAATAAAGTAGCAAAATATTAAAAAAATGGAAATAAATTTTGAAGTTTTATTACATAATAATAAAAAAAAAGAGACAACCATTGACATTGCATCTGACAGCAGGCGTTTACAACACAAATATGTAAGAGAGTAGTACTTTAAATAAAAGCTTACATCAATTTGTAGGCTTAAGTATTGGGTAATACTGCCTTGATAGAACTTTATTGGAATGATTTACAAAAAGAGTAAAAATTGTAAATAGTTTCCAAAATTGCCTTCAACCATAACAGTCACTGAAAAAAAATCACCCAGTAACATGGTTATACTAGAGCACGTTAACAGCTAGAGTTGTTTTAATTATAAAATAACACACTTCTTCTTCTTTTTCTTTTTTACTTGAAGGGCAGCTTTAGTAGCCATCTCGAACACATCCCTCACACCATCTTTGGTTTTGGCAGAGCATTCCAGATATCCAAATGCCTGGATTTTTTCAGCCATGGCTCGACCCTCATCTGGCTTAACTGGCTCTTGTTTCATTTTAGCCAACTCTTTGATGGTATTTGGGTCGTGACGCAAATCCTTTTTATTACCAACCAGAACTATCGGAACATTGGGACAGAAATGGCGTACCTCCGGATACCACTTTTCCATGATGTTCTCCAGACTGTCAGGGCTATCTATGGAGAAACACATTAGGATCACATCCGTGTCCGGATATGAAAGAGGTCGAAGTCTATCATAATCTTCCTGACCAGCAGTATCCCATAATGCAAGTTCCACCTAAAAAAATTATTGCACGTTAAACAATGTAAAATATCACAATATTTTATTTCATAGTTATTGCTGAACAGCAGACCAAATTTTCAGTTTAGGGCTACGAATGTTCAACTCCATAGCCTTGTAATTTTGAACCCAAACCAGAAAACAAGGGAATTCCTGGATCAAGTATTGGGAGAAATTTGTCTTCCTGTAGGACTTTTTGATGGAACTAACCCCTGTTTGCATTACACGGAGAAGAAAACCTCATACACTTAGCCTGACGAAAAGAGGACTCTAACCCACGATTCGTCAACCACTGAAGATATTTAATGTTAGCACTGTGGTCGGTGCGAGCTGGATGCGGAATTTAAATCAACCAGTCATCTTCGGGATTCAAATCAAGGGCACCCCATTGAGAGTCAAACGCTCTAAGCGAATTTGATTATCACTGCTTTCTTCACTACTCAAAACCTCATCGAGCAGATGATTGATGGGTTTGAGGTTTGGAAAATGGCTCAGTCACTTTTAAACATATGTTATGAATAACCAATCCATCACAAGCTAAGAGGTGTGTTTTGGTTCCTTGCTTATTGCAATGATAAATTTTGTGAATCATTTGGTCTGTATACACCGTAATAAAAAATATCTCAACAGTGACAATACATGATGTCATTAATTTATAATCATTAACTGAAAAGTAACTCCAAACAAAAATACTGTTTGAATCATGTCTGACAGAAGGAATTTGATTTCTTGTATCTGTCAGATGTTGAACGTACTCTAGCCACCATCATAGTCAATAGATTCTTTAGAAAGTCTAGCACAAATAGCTTTTAAGCAAACTGTAATCACGCTAGCTAATTTCTTTTCAGAAATAATTACTTTTCTGAGGTATCAAAAAAACCATTAAATAATTGTTGCTTGTCCAAAATAAAAACAAAAATTTAGCTGGATAATTTTGATTTGAATATGAAAATATTGAAGTTAAATTGAAGCTTTTTTTATGTTTACAAAATGCTCATATACAAAATAATAAATGCATAACAACATTATATTTTTCATTGGGAAAGAGAGAAATACATTTGGATGGTCTAGCAAAAGCAGGAACTTGGCCAGAACTGCAACTTTTCACTGTAAAGGATGGAGAACAACACTCAAGTTATGTACGCGGACAGCTTGAAAGGAGCTCCATTAGTAATATATATTCATTTATTTATTATTTTGATTGGATTTAAAATATAAATAAAATAAAAAATATTTTTGTTTTCACTCAAGTGAGGTCCTGGATGAACATAAACCACACTTTCTTTCATTTAAATATAAGGATATATAATTACAGACACTGAAATTTTCATAAAATAATTTTTCTATACTATATAATACTGAAAATGTGATAATGAATCATAATTGACTTAAAATTTAATTAACACTAATATTTTTCTCAGAAAAATTACAGTACATTATTAATAATACATAAACTAATAATAAATTAATCCTTGCACGCTAAAGTGTCGCTCATTTTGGATCTTACATTGAAACAAAGCTATAATTCATAAAACATTTTTTGAGTTGTCATGATATTTCTCATAATGATAATAAACATAATGACATCAAAATAGTTGCTAATAAGTTGAAAAAAATGAAAACCTTATCTAGAGAATAAATAATAATAAATATAATAAAATTAGGAAAACTAGAATAAACCATCTTTTTTCATTAAACAGAGTGCATAGGCAGATTTTTTGACTAAAAAAAGCACACTTTATGCACTCAAAAACAGTTTCAAGCACTTATTTAAAAAATATATATATACATATATAACACACTAATAGAAGTTTTTCTTTCTATTGTTGAAAGTTCATCATAAATATTACTTTTTTAACAAACTGTAATCATGATAAAATAACTAGTTTCTGGCTCCATTCTTGATTTTATACACCAACATAAATGCATTTTATACACCAACATAAATTTTAAAGATATTCCTAATAGCGTTCCTTATTCTATTTTTTAATAATTACTTTAATATTCACCATACTGAATTGAAAAACATGCAGAGACTTAAAAAACTAAGAAACCCTTAATGAATTCATTAAAAATGCATATAAGTAAAAGATTACAGTTAAATTTTTATCTAAATTCGTAATTTGGTTCAGTGTTTCTTTGATGAAATGATTAAAAAAAAAATTTCAATTGCTTACAAACAAAAATACAAGATGGCAATGCTTAGTTGGTCCCAATGGTCTAAAAATTTCTAGAATTTTTCTGTTTGATTTCAGAAGGGAGATGAGGTCTGAAATCGGGTAACTCTCACAATATGCAATAGAGTTAGATGCGTAACCCCTCTTGGCGAATCCAGATCAATGGACGCCTATGTGGAACCACCAGTAATTTATCAAATTGAAAAATTATTGACGCTTTTGCATGATAGAGACAACAGCAATTCGAAACAAATGATGATTGAATGAGTTGTGAAAATTCATGAGTTAAAATATAAATTCAATCTCAAGTGTTATGGCAATTTCATCAAACTAAATATAGCAGAAAGTCTTTATTTCTATTTATTGAAAGATAACAGAAACTATTTATATTTTTCAGTCATTAAGTTCAGTTCACAGTTTTAACTGAACTATTCAAAAAATCAGGAAATACTCCTTCGCAGAAGCATTGAATATCTAAGATTAGACACTTTAAATTTCAACTGATATTCTAAATAAAGCCAAATTTTTCCAATTTATGGGTTCAAAATTCTAAACCTTACTTTTAAACATGGTTTTTTTTTTTTTTTGCAAAAAGTAGTCTATAATAGAAATCTTTAAATAAAATGGGAATATTATGGTCAATTCCTTTAAAATGCTCGTAACAGACAATTTTTATCTGAAAAATGTATTTTTGCATTCTTTGTCAGAAAATATATTCATTTCGAAACATTGAATAAATACAATATATTCATCTGTTGATGTATTTTAACAAACCCTGAAGGGTTTACCAAGGGTGCAGAAAATTCTAAGGATCTGGTACAAGATTGGCAAGTTTTGGACAATTGACAGTTTTATCCAGTTTTAACCGCCATGTCAAAAATCAAAAATTTCGGTGTAAGGATAATTATAAGCTATTATAAATATGAAGAATTTACAAATAAAATTATATATTAAATTACAAGAGATTAATCAATTTTGTTAGTAAATTACTTCGACATTGAACACAAATTTTAGTGTAGGATAAGGGTGCACAATCTGCAGCCTGCAATCTGAATAAAAAATATAATTCTATTTGTTTTTGAAAAATAAAAACACAATTCAATAATGCTGATTTCCAACTTAAGTTATAATTTTCGACGCTCTTCATGAGAGCCGATTTCATCAAAAATCCAATGACTTTTCGGTAGTTATTGCTTCTCATTTTCAAGTGAGACTACTTCATAAGGTATTTAAATAAACTCGTTTTCAAATGTTCTAAAAATTGCACATTACATTTCATATTAACAATAACGAGATATAAAACTGATTTATTGCCATTCGCATTCAAAAGATACCACATACCTCAATTCTTATTCTCGCATTTAAAAAATTATACATTTTTACTCTTCTTCTCTTAAAAGAAATGCAACTTGAAATGTTTATTTACTCATAATTTCCAGTTTAAATTATTAAAAAAGAAAAAAAGCTTTTAAGTTGTTTAGCAATTATTTTTTTTAGTTTACTTTTTTGAAAAACATTTATGCCCAGTGATTGTCTATTAATATGTCTCTAATTATTTTTATAAACTACAAATATTTTTTTTACTCTCATAATGAGAGAGAACTATTTTTTGAAATATACACAAAAAATAGTATAAAGAGGACAATTTAAAAATTGCTGAGGATTGAACTCAGTTATTACATAATATTACACATTTCGTTAAATTTTTACAGTGGCAAATGCACAAAGTGATCTTTTCTGAGAAGCAGCGCCCTGCTTTTTTTGATTCCTAGAGAGAACTCTAAATATTCATTTTTCTTAAAATTTAGTTCTATGAAACAATAAAACTTTTTAATGTTAAAATTTGTGTTTAAATAAGCTTTTGTATTGTGTAACGAAATAAAAAAAAAACTAATAATTTTCCTATTATTTTTATTTAATTAATTTTATCAGATTCTTTTTAAGTTTTAGCATTTTCTTATTTTTTTTTCTCATTTATTTAGTTTTTTTTTTATTATTTTCTTGAAACAACATTTAGAAAGGAAAGTTTATATATTGGAAAAACTTTTTGCTAACAAAAACAAAGAAAAAAACTCATTTGGTTTAACACAATTCTTTAATAAATGAGCATAGATGTTAAAAATAATAGAAATTAAAACATATTGAAATAATAATAATTTATTAAATTAAATTTATGATTCCACTTTAAAACTTAAGGAATTCAAACTAATAAATACACAAATTGACATAAAATATTTTTTTAAAGAGGAAAAATTTGGCAAAGTGACACATTTTTTACTAATAAAAAATTTTGTAAGAATTTATTTATATCAAAAATTTATACATGGCTGCCTGAATTTCAAATTCTGCTCCTAACAAACAAATATTCCATAATAACAAAACATATTGAGAATTTAAAAAAAAAGTTAAGAATCAGACAATTATTGGCAACCACTTTAGTTTTACTTAATCTAAAATAACTGCCTAAATTGTGGCACAAAAGAATTTAAATCAATATTTAGATTCTTAACAATTAACAACTTATAGATATTAACAGCATAAACTGAATAGTTATAATATAGCAAATAATATTCATCTTAAATACTAATATTACCATGCTATTAAAAAAACCAATTAAGAGTTTCAATAAATTTGGCTACATTTCTTATTCATGGTAACATAAATATAATTAAATGAATTATAATTATAATAGTATATAATGCAGTGTTTTCACTACAGTGCGAGAATCTCACATATTTTTTTCTATTCTCGCATTAAAAAATTATTACTGTGAGAAATTCGCATATTTTATAAATCAATTTCAAAATTCGTGAATTTCTCGCATTTTGGAAAAAGCTTCGAACTGTGCCATTTAGATTAAAATCCATTTTAACTTTCTTCCTGGATCTTTCATTATTTTCAACATCTGCCCCGTTATCTAGCTTCCCTATTTACCACTATTGTTCAGAACCTTTTCGAACAACTGAACACAACCACGGAACCCCATTCAGAACACATTTCTCTGCAACCACGTGTTTACCTTAGGTAAGGTTTCTTCACGTAAGACGTTCAAATTCTTTATGTGCTAATGTAAGATGAACCTTGTAAAGGCAAAATCTTATATGATGATGCACCAAAAATATTCAATGCCTTAAAAAATAGAAGACGTTAAAAATGTATTATAATTAAAGAAATGATTTTTTTTCAAGAGTTTGTGTTTTTTTTAGTTTTTAGAATCTCTCTTAACTTTTTGAAATCTCACCCTGTTTTATAAAAAGGGTGAGAAATTCTCACCCATTTTTTTTCTATGATGAAAACACTGTAGTTTGATTAAATATCTAATAAAATGTCTCCAATAAATAAAATAAAAAAAGAAACTTGCCCAAATTTTTTACTTTTGTCAGATGTTGACTTGTTCATGCCAAAAAACCAGTTTTTGACATCAAGAAACCAAGTCTAGTCAAATATCTAACATTGGTACAAAAAAAGTTTTTTTCCTTTTTTTTAAAGTTGCAATAACCTTTTCAAAATATTTTTAGAAAGTAAAGTGTGTATTTTGCTGAAATTTCTCTTATAGCAATTTTTATTTTATTTAGCTAGACCAAAAACTTTCTTATGGCTGCCTGAACTTCTCTCGGACCTTATTCATGTCATCAGATATACTCTGCATCTTTGGAGTTCACCATCCAAATAAATTATATGCAATAAATAGAATGTTATTGTTATGCATATTGCACATAATTTGTTTTATAGATAAATAATGTATTCATTCAGCAAAATTTTTAATTATGTACTTTTTTTTTACATATTTAGTACCTTTATAAAAAATTAATATATTGATTAATTTAAAATCAGATTAATGAATTGTTTTACTTCATATAATTTTGTATAAAAAATTACAAAGTTTAATGTATAAAACATTAAGCTGATAATTTCAACGGACAATTCAGTTTGTTGACAGCACAAAAAATTATTTGAAAATTAATTCATTTTTTTCCACTTTAATGTGAAAAAACCCACTTGGTGGGTATAAAGATAGGTTTTTTCAAGTAAAGCCCAATCTGGGGGGGGGGGGAAACACAAGGTTTTTCTCGACTGTGCCTATCTTTACAAATCCTGATTAAACTGCTAAATTAGCACACTTCTCCTAAAGGGCCATGCTTCCTCCTAAATAGATTAATTTTCACAGCCTCAGAAATGCCCTTCGCATCGAGGTTTTACAGTAATGAGAGGAAATAAGTTTCCCAATTTCTTCAGGAATAAACAAAATTGGTAAAAAAGCTTTAAAAATTTTTGATTTCTGTTATTTGGATGACAAAAAAGATAGCAAATTATTTTATACTTAATCAAAACTCTTAATCTAACTCAAAAGTCTCTTCTTATGTAGAGGATAAATGATGCTTAAATATTTATTAAATACCAACAAAATAAAAGCTATATTATTTAATTCATGTTAATACATTTTTTTTGAACATGAAATATAGCAACAAGATTCGTTTAACAACAAAAAATTATAAATAGCTTTAGAAACAAAGCTCTAAATATGTATCACCATACCATGTGCCACAACAAACACTGTCATGAGTAAAAATAGAATATTTTAGATACACTTAACTATTTCATTTGCAGTGCAGCACAGAATTGTTTATCCTGATCTCCAAAAATCTATAAATCACACATTTTAAAAATATACATCCTGTTAAGGAATATAATTAATCATTTTTACTTTAAATTATGTAGAGGATAAACAAGAAATAGACTTTGTTAAAATGCAATGTATAGATAAAAAGAAACATCTAAATAAGACAATTACAAAAACTAAGCCTTACATATCAGTTGTATCACTTAAAATTTATCAGCACATAAAAAAGGATAAAAAGTAATTTCATACAAAAAATATATAAACTTTCAAGTTCGAAAAGAGTATATAACTTTTTAATAAAACATATTTACCTGTTTAAAGTCTACTTCAATATCAGCAACGTAATTTTCAAACACAGTAGGTACATAGACTTCAGGAAACTGATCCTTGGAAAATACAATGAGAAGACATGTTTTACCGCATGCTCCATCACCCACGATGACTAATTTCTTTCTTATAGCCGCCATATAGCCTTTCTTAAAGCTTTACTCCGATATATTCTGCCAGCTGAAGAACAATAACACAACAATCAAGATTTATTCGAAGTGGCTAGAATAGAGCAGTCACATCGAACATTAGAAATTTATGACATAGAATCAAAATATTGACAATCTAAGTATAAAAATGGATTTTACAGACCTTTTACTTTTGTAACAAACAAATACAAAACCGCTCTCGATCATATATTAATTGAAATCCTTTATTTACAAACATATCATTTGAACCACATAGAGCTGCAGGATTAATGGGAGTGATAGGAACAGGAACCAAGATTAAATCACAGATATTTAAGTCAAAAGTATCTGTGACCAATAATTGGCGGTTATCAGCTCTTAATGATTCTAAGCTAGGAACAACAGTTAGAGCACGAAAACATATATGTGCAATTCTTATTTTACCAAAAATTAAATAACTTGCTGATTATTTTTGTTCTTTATTATTTGTTAAGGTTTTATATAGTAATAAATCCTAGATATGGTGTTTCCAAGAGATCACAACGAGGGTCATGCGTTCGTGAGTAATTTGTAAATTTATTGCAGAATTATAACATAAAGATTTTACTAAGTGCTTCTTATAAGTTTATGTTGGTCATTAGAACAACTTAACTTTGTTCTTGAGACGAAACAAAATTTATTTTCCGTCTTTGTGATGAAATTTTAAAATCACCGTTCGAGTTTCAAAGTAGCAGGTACAACATTAAATTCATTCAGAGAATGACTCATCGACCATTAAAGAAATCATAGAACCCTTAGGCTCGGTTCTCACTCTATGAGAAAAATTCTCTGGCTAATAGGAATCCGATTGGCGAATCTTTTAACCGCGTTCCATGAGAATGATTTTTAAGGGAATGTTCGCACTACATTTAAAAAATTCGCCAATCCTTATCAATCAGGATCTCGCACGCGTCTTCGAGATCGCAATCGTTATTCTTGATTGCAATGCTCGAATAATACAGAGAAAAAAAACCACTCTAATTCTTTCGCCTGAACTGGCCGCATAGAATGGAAACCCAGACTACAAATTTCAAGCTCATCTCCGAGATCGAACCCGGTTCACCTCATTGGAAGGTGAAAGCTTTATCCTCTGAGCCATCATGGCTATTTTGCTTGATTTTATATAATTAAATATCCTTTATACGATTGAGCGCACTTATAAAACTTGCGAGAGGATGCACCTAATTCTATCGTACGCCACTGGTTTCGTTTACAGTTGTCATACAAAAATTATGCGATATAAAAAAAAAATATTAGCAGTAGCACATGTTAAAAGGTATCCACAAGCAAAAGAGAGTAGAAAACAAAAGAATTAAGATGTCCCAGACAATTTAGTGGGTTTTTACAATGGCATGAAAAAAAAGGATTTATTTTCCATTATACAGCAACGTGGGAGACTAATTAAGTGGCTGTCGATAAACAAAAAAATCAATTTATTGCCATTTGTAGAGAAAATTGGCTGCCCAAGTCGGATTTTCCAGCAGACATTGATCGAAATTTCCACATTGTTGTTTTTTGGATAGTAGGGTGCATACTAGAGGCGCACCTGAAAAAACATTCTAAGGGTGGTTTTAAAATTGATAATCCATGATCAATAATAATCCCTAATTAATAATATTACTTAAAAAGTTTTAAGTAATATTATTGTAATATAAAAATAAATTCTTAAAACTAATACTTATTTTTCAACGATAAATTACGTAATTTGTACATTGTAATAAATTGTAATTTGGAAGTAATTTACATTGTAATTACAGCAAATACATTGTAATTTGCTGTGTAATTAATGTACATTTATTAACAGCAAATGAACTTTTTTAATAAAATTTCATACACATGAATTGAAAAAAAAAAACAAAGAGCAGGGATAGCCTGGATGGCAGAGCGCTCTACTCACGTTCGTGAGAACAGGATTTCGAATCCAGCTGCTAGAAGACTTCCCGTGTAGTAAATGGTGACTAGAGCACTTTATATCGCTCGGGTCACAAAATCCTCCATGTTCCCATAACAAATTAGACTTCTGGGGGATTGATCGTTGAATTGGAGATTGATCGTTCTTTGGTTCAGGTCAAAATTACTATATGTTGATGAATGAATGGATATATGAATGTGTCAGCCCTATAAACGGATGTGGTAGAAGTCGAATTTTCGGCCATAGATGGCATTCCCACAAATTTAATGGCCGAAGACAACAGCAACAAAAAAGTACCATACTTTCATTTTTCAATTTAGTTCATTTTCCTTGGTCTTTCAAAGGAAGTGAGTTCAGAACATTCCTGCAGCAAATGTAATTTCTTCATATTATGGAATGCTTTGAATAACTTTTGATCTAGTAATCGGATTTTCCACGTACTAGGATAGTAACTTAATAGTTCATGAGGGTATCCTCAAATAGGCTAATTAATAAGTGAAGACGGTATTTTAAGTCACCGCAATCTGGAGCTTTTCTAGCTAGGCGTTAAAATCACTCGGAAGTTTAACGACGAATTTTAACCCCTAGCGCCATCTGTGCTTAGCTTTAAACGGTCAACCATCCCTTTTGAACGTTATTTCTTTCTTGTAAAAAACGATTTAATTTCCTCCTCCTTTTTTTTCTAACTTTACAATTAGACATTGTTATAAAACAGATCAACGAAACAAATAAGTGAATAAATTCTTTTCTTCTCATTATATGTCCCGCAGTGGACTGATAGTTAAGTCACGGTTCTTAGCAGATCACCGAAGTCAAGCATCACTGGCTGCGGTCAGTGTGCGGGTGGGTGATCACTTGGATCAGTCTGCGTAGGGACCGAGGGTGGTCGGTATTGATCCTCGTTAAACTATCGTAAAGAACTCGACTTCGCGTGCAGGTCGTCGGGCTACCGAAGCGGGGGTGCCATCCCCTCTGCAGAGGATCAAAATTGTGATGGCATGTCTTCGGATCATCCTCGGGGATGCTTCCCAGACCGTCGCCAATAGCCCATTGTGCAGCTCTAGTGCGATGTAAATGAGCTACTACTTCTATTGCAAAGAAACATAATCTAATCATATTACTCCAATCTCGCAGAATAGAATCCAAGAAAAGCATTAAGCAAAGACATGTTGTCAATGAGTATCAATCCTGCTCAACACGCCTTCTTTCACATTTGTTTTATTTTCGAAAGAGTTCGTCTCCCTCCCACATCGTGAATTATAAAGACAGAATACTTAACTGCCTTACTAAAATAAAAACTAGCTTTTGAATCATTTTTTTTTTCGTATAAATAAATTTCAGTTAATCATGTTAATGATTTACAAATTGCTAGGGGGGCGGGTCAAACCATATCCTTACTTTTAACCAGACTTATATCTAAAAGAAAACGTCAGGGCTTTCTTTGAGTAGAATTGTGCATACCAAGAAGCAGCAGTTTCAGTTTGTGGCAGAATTGCAGGGTGCCATCATTGAAACTTGGGATAATATTGATGCTCATATCCTCTAGAGTTCAGTGAAAGGCAAACATACATAAACATGACGGACATATCAGCTATAATCAGAAGTGGTTTTATTTTAACGAGACACTTTTTCCCCTCCTTTATTAATGTTTTTTTCTGTCTAGGAGGAGCAGGAAATAAATAACCTCTTGTAAATATGTTGAACTGAATCCATCAGGATACAGGACATCTGCTACACCTCCCAAACATCTGAACTGAAAGATACAAAAAATTACCACAGGTATCCAGGGTATAGTATTGGTAACTAAGAGACTTCTGCCAGAGGTCAATTGTGAATAAATATCAGAGTTTCTAATTGAATGTAAGAAATATTTTTTAAAAAACTTGCTTAAATTTGATGATCTAATATGAAGAGTATATTTAAACTTTATCATCTCATAATGTTAAATAAATTACTTGAAGTCTAAATCCATAGAGGTTTTAGTGATGTAATTTTCACTTTACAAGATTGATGAACTTCTAAAGTATGTGCAAAGCGTTGCGAGATATAAGTAATAATGCTATCGTATTTGTAAGATGATAAGCTTTGATGGCAAGTTTTATATCTGCACACAGCTAGAAACGAGTGTTTACGATAATGAACACAACTTGAGCTGTGGTGGCTGAGGGGATAGAGCGTTTGCCCCCCAAAGAAGTGAACCAGGTTCGAACCCTAGAGATGGGTGGTCGATACGAGCACCGCACCCGGCTCAAACCGTCCAGTGCTGACGTAAAAAATATCCTTAGTGGTAGACAGATCATGGGTTAGAATCCCCTTGTTGTCAGGCTACCCGTGGGGAGTTTCTCTCTCCATTTAATGCAAATGCCAGTTAGTTCCCCCAAGGACTTCTACGAAGGCAAAATTTCTCCCACTACTTGATCCAAGGACCAGGATAGCCTGGTTGGTAGGGCACTGGGACCATGTCCTAGAGTTCGACCCTCACCGACCGAAGATTTCCCGTGTAGTAAAAGATGACTGATTCACGCTAAATCTGTCGGGACACAATGTCTATGTTTCCATAACTAAACAAAACAACTGGGGTTCTGATCAAGGAGTTTCCTTGTCTTCCGGATTGATTCAAAATTACAAAGCTACTGGAGTTCAACATTAGTCGTTAACCCAAAATCGGTTCAAATGTTCAACGAAGGTTATATATATATAAAATAATACTTGATCCAAGAGTTCTCTTGTCTTCTGTATTTTATTTTAAAATTACAAGGCTACGGAGTTGAACATTAGCAGTCATAAACCCAAAATTGAGTCAGCAGTTCATGGATGGTAATAAAATAAAATAGACACAGCTTAAAATGCAAGTTTAAAAAATGGGCAAAGCTCAAAGTGAAGGCGTTTACGAAAATGGACATAGCATTCGATTCCATTTTTTAAACTCCTTTTATGAGTATTTTCTTTTATAAGAAAAAACTAGTGAATCCAAATAAATTTAAATTAAAGCGATTTGCATAAATCATTGGTCTTATTTTTTTCTTTTTGAAGATTTTAAAAAAAATATAAAATGGTTTAAACAATGTTACCACGGGTTACAATAAGTTTATAATAGGGCTAGTAAATTGACATTGAAGGAATTTAGAGTTCTAAACCTCACTTTATCGTTCAGAATTTAAAGGCATCGCCTGAAAAATGACATGTGTAATATGCATAGCCGATACGATCACTAAGTTCATGACTTGACCCTGAAATGTTAATGATTAGTGCACAGATATTATTAGTGCTGAAATGTTTATGATTAGTGCCTTGTCCATTTTCGCAAACTCATATTCACATATATTGTCCATTTCCGCGCACACGCACTTCGAGTTTTGTCAATTTTTATAAACACATTTTGAGCTTAGCCCATTTTTGTAAACACACATTTTGAGCTGTGTCCAGATTTAAACAGTTATCGATGATTTTATTTCTTTACCTATAATGCCATCCTAAACGATCTAATGCACCAGTTCAGGAGATAAAAAAAATTCAAACCAATCAAGAACAAATCACATTATAGTCAATTTAATAATGTGACTGGTTCACAGAATTATTCATGATTTTAAGAAGTTTTAATTGATGCAGTTTGATTTTTGCATGGAATTTTTTAGGATGCACAAAATGGGACAAAATATACACAAAGGGGAAAATAGTAATGCTTTTTTACAAATGGTAAAGAGAATATTCTAAAATATTGGACTAGTAGCAAATATTTATGTTTCATAATGTATTTCAAAAAATCAAATAAACTAAAATTCAAAGTTTCAAGACTTCTCTTTTGGTTAAATAAAAAACTTATAAAAATTCCATAAATTTAAAGCAGCACAATTAAGTGACAAAACATCAAACTTTCACTAAGCTGATTTCTTTGTAAAATTAGTTGAAAATATTTGAACTAATTACATTTCCAAGGTGTTAAGAAATGTACCCCTCTTTCCACTTCATGATTATTTCAAGAGTGTATTTATGCACAATTTTTCAATATTGATGAGAAATCTATTTTGATGTGATTTTATCTAAAATACTTAACTTTTTCTATGATCCATTCACTTAGTAAAAGTAATGAGCTGTTTGGTAAAGTGTTTATTTTAAAATATAGATCAATAGATCACACTTTAAGAAAATAGGCATTTAAACAGATATAAATGGATAATATAACATGGTATTAATAGAATTAATTTACTGAATATAAAGTAGTAAAAAAAAAGAACAGCTGATGATAAAAGAATCACTATATAATTCATGCCATATAGAATATTTATGCAACTTCATTTTCTAATAAGAGAAAAGCTGAACTAGCATGATTAATACATTTATTCTGTAATATAAAGTTTGACTAATTTCAGTAGCATATTAAAAGAAGTTAATACAGATGATCAGAAAACTAAGTTCTTTTGCAAACAAAAAAAGGAAAGCAAAAGAAAAATTAAACAGTGCTTTTAAACCTGCTAAAATTTATTTAAAATATAGAGTTATCAGCGAGTTTCTTACAAAATGCACTGTGTTTTTGCTATTCCAGTATTTTAAATTTTAAAAGAATCATTTTTTAGGAAATTTTTAATATCAAGGAGAAACTGGATTAGTTCCTTTTTTTTAAAAAAAAAATACTAATACATTATAATATGGAAAATACTTTAACATGCAAGACATAAAAATGAGATATCAGTATTAGACTAGAACAATATTTATTTTTTGCTAAGCAACAACTTTTAGATACTTTTTTAAAACTATCATTAAATGATGCACACTTAAAATAAATTTAAAAATTATAACCAAAAAAAAAAAAAAAAAAAAAAAAAAAAAAAAAAAAAAAAAAAAAAAACAACAATTTATGAACATTTTATCAGACGTATCATATTTTTGGAATTACCAGTTATTGTAACCTTTTTGGGAAAAAAAATAACTCTTTGAAATTTACAAGCAAATTAAAATTAATTTTAAAATAGAGTAATTTACAAATACATTTCAGAAATAATTTTACACAGCATCATCTATGAGAGTTAATAACGTAAAAACATGTTATTTAAAATAACATCTGTACAAAACAGGAAGAAAAAAAAAGTATACAAATGAATTATTTTTACATCATGTACAGATTTCCTACAAATATATCAGCTCCATGCAAGGCTTAGAAAGATAATAAACATTAAACATAAGGAAATACTTGTTCATACACACAGAAAAAAAAAGCATACAAATGTTTTAATATAAGTAACTTGAATTAATTCGTGTACTTTACAATATAATTTGAGCCAGCTATAATTATTAGGTAGCTCTAAATGTAACTATTTTCCATTTAGAAACATAGTGCTTTTGTAGTTTGCTTTATACATTTTTTAGAAGGAATGAAAGATTTGATGGGCACATAATTATATGAAACCTTAATTAAAAGATAAAACAATGATGCACTAAGTGAAAAAAAAATAGAATAACTTTAAACGAAATAATGAAATTTACATAAATAAAACAACTACAACAATACATTGCAATTTTCATCATATAACTTAAAAATACTTGATAAGGCTTAAAAGTTGGTCCCTTGAAATGAAAGTAGTTTGGGATAAAACCTTTATGAGAAAGATTTTTATTAATTTCTCTTTTAGAAGGTAAAGCAAAATTTAAAAAAAAAATTATAATAATAAAATATATAATTTTTACAAAGTTTATACACCACATAAAAGAACATACTGAAGTATTTTAGATGAACCTAGAAACTTTCACAGTCAATTTCAATTTGCCATCTAGATCAAAATGGTAAAACAGCAAATTTTCAATGCTTTGTGTTAGAAAAGCTGATCATTATAAAAAATATTAAAAATTTCAACGATTAAAAACTGCTTTTGATAATAATTGATTCTTTTTCTACTACAGGATTTAAAATTCGATTCTTTTTCACAGTATCGTTGAATCATTTTTATTTATTCGAAACACAGTTATTTTTTAAAATAAGACTTATACTGAGTACAAATAATATGATTGCACGTTAGCAATTGCTGTTAACAAACTGTTCTCTCAATTCTCAATTAAAAGTACATATGGGGAAATTCTTACATTTTTTATTTCTAAATAAGCTGTATGTAAATCCAGATTATTTTTTTTAAAGGAAATAATAAATAATAAGGAAAAAAATACAATGTATGTATAAAGCTAGACATTTTTCCAGTAACTAGGATTGGCACAAAACTATAATTACTCAAGAAGATGAAAAAATTGTTACGAGGATAAAATTTGGTAAAAATTAAATTATTTTAAATGTAAACAAATGCATATTTTGTAACAGACTTTGATTGCACCCAAATATAAAGAATAAACAATTTAATTTATTGCTCATAATCTACACTATAAAAAAATCATTGATCAACAAAATGGGGGAGGGGTTGCTTATAACATATGTCATGAAAATATCACAGAATCTAAATTTTATCACAATAAAGTTCTTTTCAAATAATTAGTTACTTAACAGAACAAATGTCAAACTTGTGAAGTGAAAGAATTCTTAAAATATAGTATAAAATTATAAATAATAAGATGCATTACCATAGAATATATTAATGTGAAAAACAACATTTATGCAAAGCCAATAATTAATAATAAAATAATCAGCAAATAGATGACATAAATTTTATCCAGTTATTTAACACTCTGATATAATAACCCATATCTTTTCCCCAATTGTGGCATAAGGAAAAAAAGTTCTCTAATAATATCCAATCGTAAAAGAAATATTTCATATTTTATCAAAAACAGTTTAAATAAGGTCTTACTTTTTAACACAAGCTATATATATACACATAATATAATAATCATTGAACAGAAAAATTAAACTATTATTATTTTTTCATAACCATTAACAATAGCATATAAGAAATCAGCCATAGCTCAATTTTTTCATTTAAATAATATATGCCCAACAAATTTCTCATTCTAACCAATAGGAAGGAAACAAAAATGAATATTGTAAAATTAGCAAGTGTAAAAAATTGTAAAAGTTCTTTAAACAGGTCCTTCAATACTGCTGGCTCTCATAGTATAATAATATATAGCTTTGCAGAATAACAATGTTGAAATGACAAAAGCACCTGAAAAAAAAAAGAAAAAAGATTGCTTTAATTTGTCTTTAAACTAATATGAAAATGGTGAAATTAAAAATCAAATTATTTTTAGTAAAATGGATATTTTATTACAGATCAAAGCACAAGAAAGGAGCATGGCAAATATGGAAAAATAGGATAATAGTAAATTGATAGATTTATATATGATATATCTAAGGATTTCAAAAAAGTATTTACAATAAAAAAAAAAATCAACGCAAAAACAAGTTAATGAAACAACCAAAAAATGACTTTTTTACAATAGTTATTAGTTCTAAATCATTAAGAAATGCATAAACATTAAAAAAAAAAAAAAAANAAAAAAAAAAAAAAAAAAAAAAAAAAAAAAAAACTGAAATTTTTCTTTAAACAAAATATTTTTAAAATGATTTAACTAACAGTTAAATGTATAGCTTGTTAGATAAGGGATAAGCAGTCATGAATTTGACTGTCAACTATTTTATACTATTAATAACTTTTTAATACTAAGTAAAACCTCTTAGAAGAAGCCACTCTCTGTTCCACAGTAAACTGGCCATTAAAAGGAGGTTGGTCATTCTTAGCGGTTACCTTCATTGACTTAAAAATGTTATCAAAGGTACATTATTTTTTACAAATGGTTTTAATTTTAGTTAGTGTCATTTTTTTGATGTAGAAATGCAACTTGTGTTGGCATCATAAAAACTGGATCAATGAATAAAACTTTGTGTCAATGAAAATGATCCCTACTGAAACAATTATGCATAAATAAAAAATTATCAATTAAATAATAACACTATTAAATGAATAAACAATTGTTTTTTTGTTTGAATTTGTATTTAATTTTACACTATAAAAATTAATTAGCTTCAAAAGTGAGAAGAGGCTAGTTTGTTTGAGTTGCTTAGTTTTTTCTAAAATGACTTTTTTTTCTTTCTAATTTAACTTTTAACTCTAAAAATAAATCATTGATCATAGCATCGTTTTTAGTGCACCCTGACTGCAACATGAGGTTATAGAGCTCTTTCAGAGATCATAAAAAAAGAGCTCACTAAATAAAGGGGGGGGGGAAAGAGCCCACTAAATAAGAGCTTCCATACAAATATTGTGAAAACATTCTAATCTATTTATTTGTTTTGTTAATATTTTTTCTTTTGATATTTTTTGTGTTTTCTTATTTGATCTATTCTGCATTTGGTGCAGAGGTTTGCCTGGTCACTGGGAGACTTTTTGATGGTCTATCCTAAAAATTTTCTTCAACACAAAATCTATGGTAAAAATGCCATGCCTCCCAAAAGTGGTTGAAAATAGAGATCTCTACATAGAGGTTGAGGTTTCACTGTATTAACGATAAGAAGCTTCCGTTAATTGATCTTACAAAGAAAAAATTAAACAATTGTGAATTTTAACATTTTTTAATATTTTTCAGACAATTTTGATTCTTTGAATTAAAGATAGAACAAGGCATTTTTTTATTTGTTTTAAATTTAAAACAGAGCTGAGTTTTTAGATTATTTTTTTTTTAAATGACCATAATTCAGCTAAATTTGAAATATACAGAACATAAAAAAATGAATAACGTTGAACATGAATCTTACCAAACGACGTATTACTTACAACATGATGATTTGAATCTGTAATTGTTACGACATGAAGATTTGAACAAGCAAGTAAGCAAACAGCAAGCTTGAAGTCAAACAAAAACGGCAAGCAATAATATCAAATCATAACCGATTATTATTATTATAAAAAACAGGGTTGCATCAAAAACCAATTTGCAATACATTGGACATTTGCATATCATTAAAGTGAAGAAATAGTAATAAGTTTAGTTGTAACCTTTATGCACTATGTTGAACACAATAAGTTAAAGAGGTATGTTATTCTTTTAGGGAAAAAGGTCATAACCTTCAACTTTAATTTTGTGAGTTAGAGGAAGCGTAAAACAGGGAAAGATCCAACTGATTAGTCAAAATCTTTAAAATAAAAATAACTTACCTACATATAGGCAGTATATACCTCCATGCCTTACAGCATAGGTGTATGTTCCAATCTAAAAATATATATAAGAAAAATTAGTTTCAGACATTTTAATGAATAAGCTTTGTATCCTCAAGTTAAATAAAAGTTTGAACTTTTAGGGCAAAAAATGTGTTGTGATGGCAGATTTAAAAAGAACCTTGTTTCCAAAAAAATCAAGTTCAAGGAAAACTAAAACTAGAAATATTGTAGAAAGCAAGTTTTGTTTCATGCTTCTTAAAAACATTTTCTCAAATTTGTTCCTTAAAAATACATTATTTTGTAAACTTTACTTTTAAGTTTTTCAAATTCAATTGCCGACCTTCAAAATTAAGTTCACTTAGAAAATTTTTTCTCATCCCATTTCTTTTTTTCTGGCTAGTTTTAAAAATCTAATTACACAAGTTAACAGATTAGTAATACTTTAAATCAGAGTTTAAATATTCCAATAAGAGCATAACAATTGCCGACTTTTCATTTTCTAAAGAAAATTACTTGTAAGAGAGAAGCCGGAAAATTTAACAAGTATATTATACATATATATTTTTGACATGGATAAATACGGTAGTGTTAGATGGCATAACAAAATTTAGTTGAGCTCTACAGCTTTTGTTACAATTAAATTGAATATTAGACTCAATTGTTGGTTCAGGCATCACAAAAAGTCTTTTTCTTTATAGTCTTGAAAAAGTTCAAGACTATAAATTGTTAAAAAAAAAAATTAATAAAAAAAAAGTGAATTTTGAATAACAATCCAGTTTTAAACTTGTGAAAAAAAGACTTTTAATGATGCCTGAAATGTGCATTACCATGTCAACTGAACCAATGATTAAAAAAATTCAAATTCAACATTAAAACTAATGAAAAGGTTGGCTTCAGCAAACCATTTTTCATGTTTAATAAAATAAAAAATTACCATTCAAAAATAAGCCCAGAGTATTCATTTAGGCTATAATATCACCTAATATGCTTCCATGGATATTATACTATGCTATCACTATAAGTATTGATAAAGTATGTTTACAATATTCAGAAATAAGCTTTGATTCAAATTACAGAAAATAACACATTAAATACACAATAGATAAATCTAATATGCTAATTTCTGTCACAAGCTGTAGGTTTTAAAAAAAATAAGATAAAAAAGTAATAGAAGGATAGTCAATAAGTTTTCCAAGAACTAAAGGAACCTTATATATGTTCTTCCTTAATTCAAATTTCATTTAGAAGGTAAAAAAATACTTTTAAGTAAAAATAATAACAAGTAAAGTTAGTTAAAATATATTTTGATAACAAAATGTGGGAAAATATTTTTAAAATGTATGAATGTAATGCAAGTTGGTAACATCTATTATATTTTTAGAATCAAATTGCATTACCCGCAGTTTCATTAAATAAAAAAAAGTTTTCCTGCAGAATATTAAAAATGAACATTTAAATAGAAGTTAATCAGAAAGAAAATGAACCTGTGTATCGCAGAGAGTTTGACTGGCGGGATAACAAATGCTAACCCAGATTTAAATACTTGATAGAATAACATATAAAATCAGTAGTTAATCTTGTTGAGTTTAATAGATGAAAACTGAATTCATATTCATAACTAAATTTGCAACCTTGGGAGGTTTGATAGGAATTGTCACAATGAAGAACGAATCGTGCAAGAGGCTGCATGCCAGCTTATAATATTTCATTTATATTAAATATTTGTTAGTAATAAAGTATCATACAAAAATAATACATTTTGAAACTTATCTTCATTATTTTGTTTGATTTTTACGCATCACGCGTTAGCGCGAAATGTGGCATTTAGGAATTAATTTTACCGCTAGTGCCTATCACGCGCTGGCGCGTGGCCAAAATATTCTATCAAGAAACGCCTGCATATTACTTAGAAATCAGTATGATGCACATAATTATGTTTTCTTACAACTTTTCAATATATTTGTTATAAAAAGTAAATCGGCTTCTGGGAAAAACCCTCTTCTACAGAGGGGTCATCACATCCTCACCTGCTCGGCAGCAAACGTGTTAAGGGGGTCTTTATCTCATAGCTAAAAACTGCCTGTTTATAAAGTTAGATAGCAAGTAGGATTTATTTTAAAGCATGTGATACTCACCGTAACCCCTAAGCCTATAATTAAAAATAACAGAGATAAAAAGAGATACATGGTTCCACGACTTCGTGAAAACTGCTGCCCCACAGAAGAGCTGTGAAAACAAAGAAAAAATTAATATTTCATCCTATAACTACTACCCATTGAAAAATTCACAATGCTAAAAACAAATATTGTTTTGACAATAATGATAACTTAAAAAAGGTAATCCATCTGAGGGATAAAAACAGAGCTCTTACAGTATTATCAATTGAAAAAATATTAGATTAATATTTCTTCTCCATAAATAGAAAAGAAACAGTGAACTGAAACTTTCCCACACTTTCATTCAGACAAAAATATAAAATGAATATTTTTATCCTGTTTATAGATAGAAATGAAGAAACAGAGAACAAACTTTTCCACACTTTTATTCAAACAACCTGTGTAAGTTGACTGCTTGAGGTGCATTTTTTAGAGGTCAACTTGTAAAGAGAAATTTTTTAAAATCTTTACCTTTAATCCTTATATTTAACATTAAACTGTTTTGTTTGAAAAATGAACAAGCAAATTTGTTCTTTTAACACGTCAGTCATTTATCATTAATAATTTTTAAAAAATATCAATACTCAAAACACACACAGAGTTAGATTACTTATATTTATTTAAATTTTTTTTATTTTGTTAAGCAATTTACAAACTAAATTGTAAGAAAAGACTTTGATAGTTTCACCGTATAGTCAACTTACATAGGATTTTAAACTAGTTTTTAATACTATTTCATTAAATACATGAAAGTCTAATATAACTAAATTCCATAAAATATATTCCGAATATTTTTTTTTATTCTGGTCAAATTACGAAGGTATCAGAGTAGCAGTCAAGATGTATCTGACTTATTTAATGTGGCAAACATAAAAGACAAATAGGGGCTCAGATTATAAATGCTTTTCTCTCATTTATTATATAGAATAAATTTGGTTCTTGTTAATAGAGATTAAATCGGGTGATAAATTTGACAGGTTTTCCTGTATTCAATTTTTCCACCAAATTATTTTAATTGATGAACTTTAAAATATCTCAACAATTGTGTTAAAAGTAATGTAAGATAAAACACAAGATAATTCATACAAGTAAAAGATGAATTAGAGTACATTGGAATAACAACATTTAAATAACAAGAAGTTGCAGAGTTGATTCATAATAATAGTTATTTTTCATAAATTGCTAATGAACTAGGTATGTCACTAGAAGTATTATTTGCAGTAGTAATTTTTTTGATTTCTTAACTTTTGACTTTTTTTCTTTTCACTTCTTCCCATTTAAACTTAATTTTTTTTTTAAATACTACACTTATTTGAATCAGGAACAAAATACATTGTTTATATTTCTTTCATTTATTTAAAGGACGTTAACTTAAACCATAATCTTGAAAAGAAGAATGTAGAAAAGTAAACAAAAATAAAGAAAAGTTTTACAAAATTCTTGAATAAAAAAATTTTTTTTTTTTACAAAATTACTTTGTTTAATATATAAATGATCAAAATTTTTTAAAAAAAAGCGTCATGGAGAGAGGTTTGAAAATAATTGTTATTTTTATACAGATATATGTATATAGATTGCAAACATCAATGGAGCACTTTATAAATTTCACATTCTCACTGTATGAATTTCTCAAAACAAATCCAACACTGTTTTATAATTACAAACGAATAACTGTTAAATATAAATTTTATAACAAAAGAGAAATGAACAAAATTGTAAGACTATGATAAAAATGAAGTTAATTTATTTACTTACACTTTGCGGCAATGGGGACATCTAGCTAAAGCATTGGTCAAGGTATTAAACTGAAAGATTTAAATAAGAGAATTAGCTCGAATAAAAAAAGAATAAAAAAGGAAAGCAAAAGATATTAAATTAAAACTATATGAAATAATAACTATTCGTAAGATGGCTAAGAAGAAATTTAAATAGTTTGCAAAGCGGGAAAAAAGTGTAGGAATCAAAACATTACAATAAAAGTACAATCCATAAACATGAGTTAAATGAAAAATAAAAATCATGATTGGAGAGAAGTAAGCAGCTTGCTTTATGGAAAATTTTTTTAACCATACAAATAATTCTTTAAACAGATAAAAACTTAAAACTGTTCCAACTAACCCTGGTTTCCCTTATATATTTTTTACTAACGTGAGCATATGTATTGCAATAAAATAAGTAAGTCAAGTTTCTTCCATAAAATTTGTCATTTTCTGTTGAGTATTAATAAGAATTATTTCTTATGTTCCAGAACACCATTATTAGATTATTCTTACTATTATTTATAATGAATATTTAAACTAACCATTACAAAAATAGGTATATCACTTTGACCATACTTTCAAATGGAAGGGGATATATTTTCTCTTAACTTTTTATGTAATTTTTTTTAGAGGAAATATAAAAAAGAAAAAGACAAACATTTGGTAAGTATTTGATAATTTCTTAACATTACTAAATTAAATATTTTTTTGTCAAGAAAGGTATTAAAAGTTGAAGGTTAAAAGAAAAAAAAAATGGATTAGAATAACAAACTAGCAAATGAAAACATGTATAAACATTTCTCTATAGTTATAGATGTTTAAATAAATTAATATTTTGTATAAAACCATTTTGAATATGGGTGCAAATTAAATTCTCCAGAAAAGTTCTAAAAGTAGTAGCCATAACATTTAGAATGTAGTTTTAGTTCTATATTTGTAATATAGTAGATATAGTCAACAACATTTATAATTTAGCAGTTATAGTTAACTACAAAAAATAAATGTTTTTTCACCCACTAGTTTTTTTTCTTCTTTTTCTACGAAATTATCTATGAAAATGTTAAGTTATTAGTTGCTTTAAGTTTAAAAAAATATTTTTTGGTCTATATTAAATTAATATTTGGTCTAAATTTTGGGAGCAACTAATGCAATAATTTAATAAAAGAGAAGAGATAAAACAATGAATCAATTTATACATAAATAAAATATATACATAAATAAAATATATACATAAATAAAATATATACAAAATAACTGTCACAAAATAATGTAATAAACATTCATTTACTTTAAAACATTCAATACCTCCAGGAAGAGATAATAACAATCTAATTTAGAAAAAGAGGCAAAGGAATGTTTAAGGAAATGTGTGCAAAACAATCCTCAATAATGGAATTCTTTTGAAGAAAATAAAGTAATTGCATATTTCTTTTTTTAGTATTATCTATTTATTTTAAATAATTAAATAAGAATTCACAAGTCAAATTTGTTATTTATAGAAAATATAAAAATATATTTTAAATAAAAATATCAAAGAATTATCATATTTAATAATGTATCCCTTCAGTAATAAAATAACTTACTTATTCTACCACATTTAGCTATTTGGTTAGATATTTCTTTAAGTGGGACAATATTTCAAATATTAATGCCAGTTACTAGTATAATAATTTTGGTGAATATACATAATTTTAAGTAAAAACAAATCAAAACATTAAGTATATAGATACTTCTAACAAGTAAAGGGATAAAAACATAACTTACTAAAAAGAGACTATGGCAATAAGCACATGAAACTTGACACATGCCAGGCACATTTGGGGGAAAGGGATCTGAAGGTACAGATGCAAGGTTCAGAATCCTTTTGCTAATTTTAAAATAAAAAAAGTTAAATATTAATTTAAATTTTAAATTAAATATTTGGTAAAATTAAAATACAAAAAGTCAAACTTCAGTGAGCAGTTAAAAAAATAAACTCAGAAGAAAAAAATACAAATCAAGTACACATAGTGGACGAGTTCCTTGACACATTCAGAATTTGATCAAACTTCATATTTAATCTTAATGAATTAAGTTCTGAAAGTACTGTCTTAAGTTAAGTACTCCACTAGCTCTAGATCAGGGAATTTGTGCTATACCAGGTGAAGACTTAAATATAAGGGGACAGGAAAGTAATGTTGTTTTGGTGCAAGCATACCTTCAATGAGATATTTATATATCATCTTGATAATTGCTATAAGTTTCTAGTGCAATTTTAGAACCATCCCATAAAAGAAATTTGAGAGTGTTGATTAATGGATAAACAAAAAGAAAAATTTATTAATAAATTACACACTATCAATTAAACTAAAGTTTTTTTTCTATTAATGTTAGCATTTTTAAAACCAAGCAATACAAAGTTCTTATAATAAGGTAATTACAATCAGTATAAGTATAGAATAAAAATAAAACTAGATAAATGTATCAATATTTAACATTGTTATCTTCTGCAAGAAGTTTTTTTTTAACAATCAACTATTAGTTTGTACAATTCTTTGCTCACAAAATAATTAAAAATCCATTAAAACCAGAATTAATATGCCCACAAAAGATTTCAACTCTGTGTTGTAGTAAAAAATCTAATACAGTCATAATAATTATAGCTGAATGATTCTTTATTTAACTAAATACCAAATAGTAATATGTATAAAGTGCATTCATGAAAAAAGGTAATAAAATAATCCATTTGAATGAGATACACATTACACTAGGCTAACACAACTTTGTCAGGATATAATCCGAAAACTATTAGTTTAACTTATAAATTCAATTATTTAATAATTGCTAATTAAAAAAATTTATTCAAATATTTAAAGTTCGAAATTGAATGTCATACCAATTATTTCTTGGACAAGCAATTCTCTGGGAGCTGGATTTGCAGATGAGAAGACAATTGCATGGGCACCTCACATATTTTTTCCCCACCGGTGCACTTTTGATGGGCTATAAGATACAAGTTCATATGTTTTTCAATATTGAACCTCAACCAAAAATTCAATCATCCAACAATCTAACTTTTGTTATAAACATGTACAAAGACCAAAATAATGCAATGGTTTCTTAATAACTTTTCATATAATTATTGGATTTTCACATACTCAGATACAATATTGATAGTTCAACTTTAAATAATGTCATCAATATTTACAAACAGTAGTCACAAAACTACTTTATTTTTTAATAATTTTTTTTTTTTTTGACAAATTCAGATCTTCTACTTCTAAGTATGAGGATAAGTGAAATCTGGAAAATACTTTCTAAATAGTTTAATCAGAAGAGCATTTGAAAGTTTAGAGTCCTTAACGTAAATTTTATTTTTAGGGTTTTTTATCTTCTTTTTTTGCCACCCTGGGACTATTCAAGTAGAAAAAAAATTGAGCATTATATACAACTCGTTTAAAAAAATATAATAATCTTCATTACAATTTATTTTTTTAAAAATAATTTTAATAATGATTGCAAATTTCTTGAATAGCAAGGCATATTAACTTTAATTTACAATTTCAAAAATCATGTAAATTATTTAAAATCATAAAATTTAATAAAAATAATTTGAATAAAGCAATAAAACTTCAAAAAACTAGTCTTTAAAAAAATTAGATGCATTTTTTTTATATTTCCAATGGCAGGGAAAACAATAAAATACAAGGAAGAGAACAATAAACATCAGAACACAAGAAGTAAAAAAAAGACCGAAGTCATTTCTCCAGAAGTTCTCTCGCACGCCAATATTTAGCAATCTTGGAGTCAAGTCTGTAAAGTGACCTACAGAGATGGAGATGTTTTCGGTTCACAGGTTCTTTAGGATCACAAAGTCAACAACAACTATGGTACAACGGAGAGCGACCTCGTGGCTATTAAATAAATCGTATACCTTAACAATTTATTTTTTTCTGATTTTACTAAACTGAATAATAAATATTTTTACCCATGAAATTTGAAATTATTTACTTGAGCATTTCAAGAAATACAACAAAGCACACAAAATTAATATTAAAGAGACTAAATTTTTAATACTCTTAAATACTAGGGCTATATCCCTTCCTCTATATATTGAGAATCAAAATTTTGAATCTGCCCAAAAGAGGTATGTTTATTTAAATAAAGCATATTTTCGTAACAGATTTCCTACGTTTTACTTTCTTTAATTAATTAGCATATTTAAGATCTACAACTTAAATCTTTGTATATAAAAGAAACTAATTATTAAACAAAGTTATTTAAAGCTCGTTTTTAATATTATTAAAAAAAATTAGTCTTGTTGTTGTTGTTGTTAATTTACGTCGCACTAGAGCTGCACAATGGGCTATTGGCGACGGTCTGGGAAACATCCCGGAGGATGATCCGAAGACATGCCATCACAATTTTGATCCTCTGCGGAGGGGATGGCACCCCCGCTTCGGTAGCCCGACGACCTGCGCGCGAAGTCGAGCACTTTACGGTAGCACAGTTTAACGAGGACCAATACCGCACACCCTCGGTCCCTACGCAGACTGATCCAAGTGGTCACCCACCCGCACACTGACCGCAGCCAGTGATGCTTGACTTCGGTGATCTGCTGGGAACCGTGTCTTAACGATCAGTCCACTGCGGGACAAAATTAGTCTTTCTTATTTTAATTGTTTCAAAAAGGCATAGGCGTTTGATCTAAAATTATATCAAAACTTAAATTTTTTATAAACTTTTAATTTTCCTTAAAGATAATAAAATGTTCATTGATTAAAAATTTTAGAAAATAATTAATACTTTAAAATGTAGAATTATTTTTCAGATGCTCTAAAATAATTTTAAACAGAGTGCATTAAAGATTACAAATGTTTCCCGGAGGTATTATTTATGTTTAAAGTTCATAAGAGAAAAACCAGGTTTAAAATTAGGAGTTCATTTTCCTTGTTTGTTAACGTGCAAAAATAACAAAGGATAAATAACATTTTTAGACAAACATCAAATTGCCGCCTTAAAATAATTACAGGATATTTTTATGAAGTTGATTACTTATTAATAACCAGAGCTCTCCCTATTAATAAAGAAGGGGAGGGAGCTTCCTCTATGAAAAAAGCACTTAGAGTTTTGAAAGGGCAATCACTTAACACCCTAAAAATTTATTAAAATGTGTAACATTAAGTAATAACTGAATTCTATTTTCAACAGTTTGTCTCTCTCGATATCACAATATGCTAAAAATTTGTAGTTTATAAAAATAATTGGAAGCATGCTAAAAGACAATCTATGTACTGAATTTTTTTTTAAAAAAGCAAACTAACAAAAAATGATCAATAAACCAGAAAGCTTTTTTTTCTATAAACTAAAAATTATGAGAAAATAAACATTTAGGAGGTAAAATTTTTTAAAGAGGTATTTATTTAAAAAATAGTTTTAAAATATAAATTAATTAAAAAAATTACTAATACTCCCCCTTCCCCTCAAAAATACTTATAAAAATTTTACCAGTGGAGAATAATCCTAACAAAGTATATATATTTGCAATAGCAATCAGAATTAAACTTATAAACACAGATAATTTTACCATTGTGCAATTATTATTTAAACAGTGAATTAATTTTTTTAAAAATGGAATATGGATAAAAATTCAATGCTTTTAACTTTAAGGGATGGCAGCTCATTTTTACAAAAAGGCAAAAGGGGCATATTTTTTTGAGATCAAAGGGTAAGCCCTTCTAAAAAAGCTTAGGGAGAATACTGTTAATACTAACTGCTTCAAATTACATATAATATTTAATAAAATATAAGTTGCAGAAGATTGTTATAATAATAACTTTGAAATGCAATGCTTTGTATTTTATACAATTTTGTATTATATAGATCATTACATACATATTAAACATGAGAATATTAGTCTGGAACAGATAAATTTTAAAATGGTTATAAATAAATTTCAGATACAACTGTTAGAAAAACACAATAAAATATCCACTTAAAAATTCATTATTTACAGATTTTTTTTCTCTCTAAAACGTTAGATGTAATAATAAGCGAATCGGTCAATTTTGGTTTGCTTAGATTTTTGAAATTTTAACCGCTCAGTGAATAATTAAACAAGTAAAGCAAAAAGTTATTCTTTCTGGCTTAGTTTACAGAAATTTCTTAAAATGTGATTCATTGTTTACACCTGCAAAGTTAAAATGGTTTATGGAAAAATGCAGTTCTCAAAACTGCATTACATTGATCTTCCACTGTAATTATAAAATTGTCATCATGGCATTATGAAAACCCACACAGTCTAAATTTGAGTCCAACCCAATTTATATATCATTAAATTTAATTAATTAATTCATTTTTTAAAAAAATAAACTTAAGTAACTAAATCATACTGTAGCTTCATTGCAGCTTGTGCATTTGATAACATGTTGATCTTTCCTAGCAGATATGTCGATCATAAATCCACAAACTTTGCATGATATCATAGGAACTCCATGAGGGGAGGGATTATAAGGCGGTGGTAATTCATCAGGTCCAATGGGAGGAACAGTGACATAAGTTGTTTGACGATCAGCTTCTGGAGCTAAAATAACATTAATTTATTAAAAGATATAATCTGAAAAATATACAATCTATGCAAGTTTTATATAACTTATGGTAACACAAATATATTAATGAAATCCAAACAAACTATTATATAAACTATAACTACATAATGGTTTGTTATGGGTTCACTCAAATTATTATTAAAACAGTTAGAACTGAAACCTGCCTATTGATAGAAAAATATCCCAAATATAAAATTCGGTAAAAAACAAATCACATAACTTTTTTACTAATTTGCATGCTTCTTGAATGCTTCTATAAGACAATTAGCAATGAAACCCAACTTTTGAAAGAAAATATCCCATTCATTAAATTTGGTAAAAACAAAATACATTAAGGTTTAACATGAAGATTTTTTAAATTTTGTTTGAAAATTGCATTACTCCCTGACTTTTCTTTGCCCAAAGTCAAATTCTCTGTCAATTCTAGGTTTATCTAACTCCATGGGAACCTTGGTGTATAAGGAGATGAAAAGGTGAGTTTAAACACTAGACATAACCTTTCCTCCTTCAAAAAGAAAAAAATCTCCATTCCCTTTTAAGTAAACAAATATTTTAATGTAGCACTTTAGCATCCAAATAGAGTCTCGGTGCTGCCATCTAGTGTGGCAGAAACTAGACGAATGCTGCTANCCAACGGTATCTCATCCATTGTGGTGGTCCTGAAAGAGTGGATACCACCTCTGGAGACCGCACTAGGTCTGCTTATCGGCAAGACCGATTGTGCAGCTCATTGGAAATAAAAAAAAAAATATTTTAATGTTAAATCTTTTCTTTTAAACAAACTTTTTTCAATGGTAAGCTTGAATATTTTGAACTTGGAGGTGAATTTCATGGGTTCAAAGATATGCTTATATTTGACAATTGAGTAACTTTTACTTTTTATTCCAGAACTTCTAACCAGTAACATGTTGAATTATCTTCCCTGTTCAAGTGGTTAAGATGTAACATATATCACAAAACATCTACTCTAAGAACTATAACAAACTTATTTTAATATAATAAATTATGATGTGTAAAATTTGAGCAACATTGGCTCAATGATTAAAGGCACTGAGCTGTAGTTGTGAAAGACTTGGATGCAAATCTTGGTGGAGATTTGATATCCTCTTAATCTCAGATAAATAGGTGCTAGCCTGTCTGGGATGCTAAGTTGATTTGTGCACAATGCTGACAACACTGCCATGTTGTTGGACCCGAAATGGTGGAGCCTTAATTTTCATGAACCCCAAGGCTACAATGGGCTGGATGTTTCACTTATTGATAAAATTAGTATTTAAAAGAAAAAAAATTTAAGTTGATGTTTAACATGCAAGTTGAAGCAATTTAGATTATGTTTCATCAAATCCTTGTTGCTCAATTCAAAAATAATTTTTATGCTTCAAAGCTGCACATAAAAAAGTCACCAAATTTGACTACCACCTATGCAGTGGAACATAAGAAATTAAAAAAAATCATCACAGAATAAGATGAATTTTAAATGTGTAGCTCGTAACTACCTCGAGGCAATCCACAGCATTTAGATATATATATATGTTACTGTGAATGACCAAAATTTATGATTGTTGATTTTCACTGATGAATGTTGACAATCAGAGTCGCTTTGGTAAATGTCCGAAATAAATATTTAAAGTTCATGCCACTGCCCGGCATACATTTACCTGGTACTCCGAACACTGATGTTTTTCCTATTCTATCCTCAGCAGATATTAAAATATCGAATAAATATAATTACATCAATAAATAAATTAATAGTAAATAGGATATAACAAATATTTCGGACCTTCATCGAAGCTTCTATGTGATTGTTGACATCCTCTTGATTTCGGTCAGTCACGGTAACATATATATTGTTGTAAAAGGTTTGAAAGTGAAGAAAGGTATTTCATTTGAAACATATTGCATAATCCCCCGATATGAAAAGACTTCCCAGAACTCACCTTAAAGCGAATATTCAATATGCAGCTATAGATCTTAATTTTAAGTCAAAATATTTTAAAGATTTAGGAAATGATAAAGATAAACAGTAACTTAACTCCATACTTTAGCATTTAGGGAATATTTCCTTATTGTGATATGTCACACCAATAACAATCATTAAGGCGCCATGTAGATTTTAAAGTTGCAAATTTTTTTTAAAAATATGTAGATGTTTGCCCAAGGATTTATACCCTTCGAGATTGTCCCTTTCTGTGATTTTTTTTAGTTTCTCGCAGGGCCACTGCCTAGAAGTTGCTAAGATTTAGCGATTATTCTTCTAAAGATCACGCAACAGAAATCTCCCCAGTATTTACTTGAATTTAGTTTAATTTAAAATTATAATATATGTCTGACGTGATGAATAACTTGGAATTTTGTTGCATGATATACTAGTATAACAGTTTATAAATGTGTCGAACAATTAACTCTAAGATCTTTTCTTTTTCTATTTATTAATAAAAAGGGGATATTTCCGTATCATGATCTGTCATGCCAACTACAATTGCCAAGAAGCCAATAGATTTTAAAGATCACGATTCAGGATAGCTCCCGAATAAAAAAGCTAAAGATATGGAACAGAAAATGAAATGCAATTTTAGTTCTGAGCATGCAAGTGACACTCAGCTTCGAAACTGATGCTAGGTACAGACAGTGTTTTAGTAACCAATACTAAGTGCCATACTTCGCCATACCTTTGTTAATTATTAAGATGTCAAACTTAATTATTACAAGGTACAAAGTAATTACAAATCTCCATACTACATGAGAAAAATTTAACTGTTAAATATGTAATTAGGAAAAGATAGAAAAACTTAAAAAATGTTTGTGGAAGTGACAAGACAAAGAAAATTTGCAGTTTATTAAATAATAATTACAAAAGGAGGCTAAAAATATTAATCTTAGGACATATCTTATAATAATTCTTTCCATTAATATGTGTTTAGATTAGTTAGTACTGCATTTTCTGTTTTAAACTTAGTAAATAAAATAAAAAGTACAGTAGGACTCAGTGACAATAGAATGTTTTCAAATAAGACAACCACTAATAACATACCCTCAGAAGACCCACCATATGGAGCAGAACTGTAGTCATTTTGATTCCCCAACAAGGGGGATTTTTCACTCGCCATAAGGACTAAATTTTAATTATTAAATAGATTTTAGCTAAATATTCATCAGCTGACTATTGTGATGAAATGACTCATTGCCACAAGGAAAAAAAAAATGACAAAACATTTCTGATTAACAATGGATGAAGTTTTCAAAAATAGTTTAATTTTGGAAAAAGTTAGATAATTTTATTATTAATATTATTTGGATAGACTTATATAACGCTCAAATTGTATTTAAAAAAAATATTTTATGAAAAGTATTATTTTAATTAACTGTTATTTTAACTCTTCCAAATTAATCAATATAAGCACGTGATGTTTTTCTTATTTTTGATTGGTTGAATATTTAAAAAGCTTCGAAAAAACAGTACACGTACATAAAATTACCTCTACTCTGGCTTGAGAGAACAGGAAGGACAAGTAATGTCATAGTCAGATTGTTTGAAGTTGTGATATGTTTATATTTATTGTAAATATTGTATAGACAATTATTGATGGTCATTTTTGACGATATTCATTTGATCAAAATTGAACGGAACTGATAGAGTTGGATTGCGTCTTCCATTAAAGGGACACATTTTTCTCTGCATCATTTTTCAATTGGTTGTTATTTGTTAGAAGTTTACACCATTAAGTGTAACAGTGACGTGGTACTTCATTTATTTGTTACCTATCTTCTGTTGGATTTGTCTCTGAATTATCAAGGCTCTCCAACTTATTATTAGTCATATAACTGATGCCAATCGGACGGCTGGATCGCCATATATCGAATTTGCTTTGTTTTCGAATGTCAACAAGATCGGGCGTTGTTAACTTGTCATTGACTAGCTGACAGCACTAGCGTGAAGATTGATTTTTGTGATTGATATTAGATTGAAATATTTGTGTTAAGATGATGGAGTTGATCGATTGCAGTAAAAACTATTATAACATCGTGCAACATGGGGTTCACATGAACCTTAATGTAGCACTCAATGGCTTTGTAACGCCACCTCGACGACCTATGAAAGGTAGCAACAGACGAATGTCTATGCCTGCTGATTCCCATCTTAAATATCAAACTCCGCAGACAGCTAAGACGCCAGAAAATCTTAGTAGATCACTTCCAAAGCAAGGTTCCGTTGATCGGATCAGTCCGTCCAGGATGTCGCCCAGTTATTTGCAAGGTAAAGGATTTTATGCGGGGGCCAAGTTCGGGGAAAGGCCTCTCCCTACGGAGTTGCCCAGCCCTCCCAACCACTGGGTCAGTGGAAACAAGGAATGGGGATCAAAGGAACAGAGCTGCATTGAAATGACCAATACTTTAAAAGTCTTACTAAAGGTCCAGTCATAAGGTGACCTTACTTGTGTGCCACATCATCGAGATTCTGTATTTTCTCAAATGGACATTCATTCTGTGCTTAGGATCGATATATTTAAGAATCTAAAAAATTTTGTTCAGTTGTATACTATTTAATTTGTCTAGAATTGATACATTTAGTAAAATTCTGTACTGATTAATTTACTTTGAATTGATATATTTAAGGGTTAAAATTTTTTCCTCCAGTTTTGTATCTTGTTTCTTTATATAATTACATTATTTGTTTACAGTGTACCTAATTTCAAATATGTGGTAAAGATAATGTGAAAAACAGGTTTTAAAAAGTATATTCTTGTCAATATCATACCCTAAAGAATTTGATCTGCTTTTAATGTTGCTCACAGTGATTTGCTGCTTCATATCTCTGTGATATAACTTAATGTTTTGAATGTAGTATTTTTTTAGAATTTACTTTACTGCAATTTTTTAAATTCTCTTTATTCAAATTTTGTGAAGTAAAACTTTTTATTTAATTGTTAACTTAAAGTTGCATGAATGCACTAAAGAAATTGATGAAATTTTTTAAAAATTTAATGTACTTATTTGTAACTAAGCCATGAATATAAACTTAAGTTATCTATCCTAAGCATATGTTGGAAAAATTGATTTAAAAGTTTCAGTCTGTGTACATTTAGCATTTTTTTTTAAAAAACAAAACAAGGCTTGAATGTTTCCTTTTTTTATTCTACATTTTATTGGCAGTATTATAGGAAATGTTGGAAAAGTTTAATAAAAAAAGTTATATAAATTTTACTGTTTCCTCGAGGTTTTGAAGAAGAAAAAAATCAGTATTTCACTATTTATACTGCTAAATAAGTGGTTGGAAATTGATTAAAAAAATGTGGGGGTTTGAATTTTTATGCAGATTTATATTTATATGTGCCTTGATTTATAATGCACTGCCAATGATTGCATAGTTAATGAAATTTTAAGGGATTAAAATCAGTATTGATTATGGTGTTTGTTGGAACAAAAATATTCAAGCCCTGTTTGTGACACATTTCCAGATTTTCAATGCTTCTAAATAGTTGCATTATTTGTTCAACCAATCTAATGTATAATGTTGAAAATGTGTCTTTGTTTTTTATTCCTTTTTTTTCCAATTAGTGCTCTTTAAAGCTTCAGTTATGTTAACATATCTCACTTGAATTTCTCCCTTTTTTAAAGTCAAAAGGGTATGCAATTATTTTGCTGATTAAGAAATAGCTTGTTACTAAGGCATAGCTGCTAATATTTTCTACCTTTTTTTATATAAATGTGTTTACATTTGTATATTTAAGTGTGTTTTATGTTGCCTTTTAAATAATTATGGAAAATTCAGGGTCATTAAAACATTAAGTTAAAGGAATTGAATTAAATAATGTATTGTTGTCTTAACAAAGAAACTTTGAAGATAAGGAAAAGTTTGTTTTCTCATTGTAGATTTTATAAGATTAATTATTTAATATTATTTTAGAATACTTAAATGAGTCATAGAGTCATAAGAAAAATTATATTTATAAACTATAAAGATCAAAAGTTTTCTGAACAAAGCTATGTTTAATTTAATATATTATGTAGTTTTTCTTTAAATGGTGATTTCTAATATTCTATATTTTGGTGTAGCTGTAATTTTCTATTAAAAAAACATTAAATTGATAAGTTCCTTAATTTAATTTTGAAAATGTTAGCAGCTATGTTGTGTAATTTAGGTGCCTCTGAGATTTATTTTGATATTTTCACTAGCTGTTTATATTGTAATCAGCTTATAGAGGAAATTTGAAAATTATGCTTAATTTCAGCTCTATTAGTATTTTATGTTAGTGTTCTAAATTGAAACATTTTTTCAATTTCATTGTAAATTTAAACATAGTTTGGCTAATATTAGATAAATATGAACATAAAAAGTTCATTAGTGCACCAATTCTATTTAGCAGCAGTAAAACATAATAATTTTTTTTTTTTTAGTCTGTTTGATAACTTTCAAAATAAGTGTGTGTTTATAATATTATTTTGATTCTTAATTTGGCACTACTTGAGGAAATAGAAAAATTTAAATGAAAAAATCTCAAGACTTCACCCAATCATTGTTAAAATAAATCCGTTGAATTGTAACTGTAATGTGTGGGCTCCCTACTTATGAATGACTGATTTATCTATCTCATTGAGATTTGCAAGTGAGGATTTTTTTTTCTTTTTAAAGATAGATGTGGTGCAACTTCATTGGAAGTGTACCATATTTTGAAACGAGTATTGTTTCTTTAATTTTACTTTTTAAAAAAAAAATTTAAAAAAAACCTAGACAAAAAATATTTTTATCAACATGACTGAAGCTTTAAAAGTATAAATTTAATATAATAAAGTTGTACAATGTGTATAAAATATGAATGTATTTTTATGCACCCTTTTGAGACAAAAAGGGTTAGTTAACTAATTTTGTGTCTTTTAAGAATAGATTTTATTTTGACAAAGCTTATTCCAAGAATTGAAATCTATTGTTTTATTTGGTTTACTTTTAAAACTCAAAATGTTTTTAAGGGAATCGTGTTAGTGTCCCTTGTTGGCTTACTTCTTATTGTCTAGTCACACGAAGACCTTTCTTTATATCATGTACCATCTGTATAAACTGTGGAATATATTTTTTATCAATTTATGTAATTGGTGCCAGCATGAGAGTTTTTACTTAGCTGTGATATTCATCTTTCTCTCTCAAAGAACAAAGTCAAAAAAGAAGTTAGTTAGTCCTAGCAGGTCTGTTATGGAATTGGGATAGACAACTAGTTGGTCTGCTGATTTTTAAAATAAGAATACTACTAGTTGGCCTGTTGAAGATTAAAATAAGAAAGCTATTAGCTGGTCTGTTGAAGATTAAAATAAGAAAGCTACTAGTTGGTCTGCTGGAGGTTTATTCTAAGAAAGCTATTAGTTGGTCTGCTGAAAATTAAAATGAGAAAGCTACTAGTTGGTCTGCTGGGTGTTTAAAATGAGAAAGCTATTAATTGGACTGCTGAAGTTTAATATAAGAAAGCTACTAGTTGGTCTGCTGGAATGTTTAAAATAAGAAAGCTAATAGTTGGTCTGCTGAAATTTAAAATAAAAAAGCTACTAGTTGGTTTGTTAATGTTTCGGGCGAGACAGCTACTAGTTGATCTGCTATTATTTTAAATGAGGCAGCTACTAGTTGGTCTGCTAATATTATAAGTGAGACAGCTTTTAGCTGGTCTGCTATATATATGGTGAACAGGTGAAATTTCTTCAGGAAAAGAATTGACTCTAAGGCAATTGCAACATTTCCCATTTTGACTCTGCGTTACAATGCATTCCACACTATTCATTTCATATGTCGTCATTCAACGCACACGTCTCTGAAGTGTTTTTTTAAATGTGTGTTGTGATCTCAATTTTTCTGTGGTGCTGATGTTCCAAATCAAAGTGCTTCTGTGACCTGCTAAATGAAGACATGAACTTTAAATTAGTAAATGCCATCAAAAGACACTAACAATTTATATGCTTTGTTTGAATTGAAATGTTTTATTCTTTGTTGCTTATATGTGAGTTTTACACAACTTCTTTGTAGATGTGACTATTCGCCAAAGACATTTTCTGGTACTTAACTTTGAAACAGACCATGTTATTATTATTTTATTTTATTTTTTCAATCCACTAAATTTTGCTGGTTTACCATTTTGGGTTACATAAATTTTTGGTGCTGGACAGCTTTGAGCATAGTTAAACTTCTAAAATCATCTTGGTAAATATTTATTAAGAAAATCTCAACTATTAAATTTTTGTTTTTGCTTTTAACTAACCATTTTCAATATATTTTTGTTGATCATTAAATTTAAGAATTTTTTATTTATTAAATAATCAAATCTATATACTCGTGAATTGCTAATACATATGTATGTTAAAACAATGTATGAAAATTGAAGTAGTACATTAAGTATTATAATGAAGTTAATATTGCATAGTCAGTTTAATGAAAAATTGCTCCTGGTTTCTTTTATATGTAGGTTTTTCTAAGTAAAACTAGTTCTCTTAGGTCAACAACTAGTTTTTGTTGTCGTGAAGCTAACCCTGAAAAGCAAACTTTGTTCAAAATCATTCAACAAGTAGTTAAAAATTATTGTTTGATATACTACCTCTTATTTTGAAAATAACTACGATATCTTTATGTAAAGATACCGGTGAGGAGAATTTATGAATCTTATTTTCTTCTTAAAGTTTTTGCTTATACATTACATTGTTATTAATTATCTTTTGTTTGTAATCTTTTTTTGTATATACAGATATTTGTTTTACAGAGGGCTTGTTAGCCGTTTAGTTCCCATTTATAGTAGCATGGTCTGTGAAAAGTATAAGTACCCACTTTTCTTAGTCTTTCTTCTCATTGTATGTGTCCTACTTCCTGATTTCTTTTGACTTTCTTTCCTAGATCCACCGTGATCTTAAAAAAAATCACAAATATTAGGTGGTTGCCATATCGTTCAAATCAACTATATTATGACTTATCTTCAATCATAATGTATCTGTGTATTTAGAGAATATCTTTCTCCACTGTCAGCCTCATTTCTTTTTTAATTTATTGTTTCGGGTTATTATTTTAACACTTATTGTGTCATTTAACTGCATAATCGTGCAATTGCAATGCAAAACACTCCTAACCATAACCTGTTTCTTCACCTACTAAAGTTTAGATTTAGAATATTATTTATTTTAATTAAAATGCTTATTGAAATTCATTAGCTTCAAACTATTAAGTCATTCAAATAATTAACAAGTCTTAATTTAATATTCGTATTTAATTTCCATCTAGGAATTTTATTAGTTGAATCAAAGGTTTTCAATTATACGGAGAGAAAAAAGGTATAGTAGGGTATTTTTTTGTTTTTTTTAAATCTGGTTTCATGAATAAAATACAAAAATAATTTCTTTTTAATTATTGCTCTGTGTTAGTTTTTAATTTCAAAATGACCATTTAATGAATGTTTTTT